GCCCCGCGATGCTCAGCCCCGGCGGAACCCGGCCCCGCCCGCCTCAGCCCGGAGCTTCCCGGAGCCCGCGCCAGCTCAGGCGCACACTGGCCTGAGCCGCCCCGCACGCACGAAGAGAGCCAGGAAAGAAGCGCGGGCCGGCGCGGCCCTGCGGACGGACGGACGCTCGGGCCAATGGGAAGCAGGGACCTGGCCGGGGGCGGTGCCTCGAGCGCCTTCCTCGTTTTGGTTGGTTTCTTCTGGTTAACAGTTCGGGGCTCGCACGCGCGTCCCCGAGTGGACGCGACCCCGAGGCCTCGAAGAGCCCTGCAGGGTAGGAGGACTTCAGAGACTTGCGGCCCCGAGAAACAGCCGGGGATTCCTTAGCGCGGTCCTTCCCTCGGCGCACTCCCGGCATTGGCTTGGGGAGGGGTGTCGGGTCAGGGCTGAGCGTCCGCGCGAGGACACGCTCTGCGCAGGCGCGAGCGGGTTGTCGGCGGGTACCAGTCTCCGAATCCCTGGAGGCTGGAGAAGCCTTGCAGTGATTTGGGTCCATCCTGAAGGGCCTGGAATCAGGGAGAGGAGGATGGAGAAGAGACTTAAGAGCTGGATACAAGGCAAGAGGATGGAAAGGGAGAAGAGGGAGGTCCCCGGAAATACGAGGTTTCAGTTCTTTAGTAGGAAGCCCTGAACGCTGCGTTTCGGAGCTGTTTTTATTGGTGTGTGTAGGACTTGCGTTCTTGCAGAATTCATGCCGCTCTGCACGGCTGCTGGCGCAGATACTGACCCGCAGGGAATTTATGTCCTACTGGCACCGTTACCATAAATAGATAGTGTTTTCGCAGAAAAGCACCGGAGCGCTAAATTATCAAGTCCTTGGAAGCAGCAGGGACCATACTTTCCCACGTCTCTAACCACCCAGGATTAGGATTCTGGGGGATAGTTCGTCATCCTTATTTCAGAAGGTATTACTAGAAATTCCTATTGTAATCGATTTTGCATAATCATGAAACAAGGGACAGTAATGACAATTTTTTAAAAATATGCACAGGATAAACAAGAGGCAAGGCAAATCAAATAAGAGAATTAAAAGTGTCAGGCATAGTGGTACAGATAGAGGTGTAATCCCAGCTACACTGAAAGCTGAGGCAGGAGGACCACAAGTTCACAGCAAACCTGGGCAAATTAATGATGATACTGTCGCAAAGAAAAACAAAATGTTTTTGAGACAGGGTCTTGCTACATAATTCAGGCTGGCCTGGACTCACTATGTAGTCTAGGCTGGCCTCGAACTCGAGGCAATCCTCCTGCCTAAGCCTCCCAAGTGCTGAGATTACAGGTGTGCGGCTGTAAGAAAAAAAATTTTTTTTTTCCTTTGGACACAGGGTCTTGCTATGCAGTTCAGGCTGGCCTTGAGCTCATTTTGTAGCCCAGGCTGATCTCGAACTCACAGCGATCCTCTTGCCTCAGCCTCCCAAGTGCTGGGATTACAGGCAAGAGCCACCACGCCTTGTAAGAAATTTTGAAAAGGGTTGAGATGTAATCCAGCCCCCAATACTATAATCAATCCATGATGGAAATGTAGGATAGAGAAAATTGTAAAGCAGAGAAAAGTGAATTGTTCCTTCCTAAAGTGCAACTGTTATGTAAGTTCCAGAGCAACCCCTGGTCTGAACATTGAAGAGTGAGGCATGTGAGGGAACATTGCAGTTAGATGATAAGTGATAGGTATGGCTGCTATAGTAACCACCACAGAAAAAAAAAAAAAGTTGTCTATAACTAAGCATGACCTAAAATAACCCTGCTAACCAGACTTAGGGTGCAGCAAGTTGAATGAGGGAAACTTCAAAAATGCAAGCATCACCGAGCATGGTGGCACTCGCCTGTAATCCCAGCACCTGGGAGGCTGAGGCAGGAGGATCACTGTGAGTTCGAGACCAGACTGGGCTACAAAATGAGCTCAAGGCCAGCCTGAACTGCATAGTGAGACCCTGTCCAAAAAGACCAAAAAAAAAAAAAAAAAAAAAAATGCAAGCATCTTTGTGTTTGGTCAGTAGAGTATAATTTTTTTGTCTTTGAAAGGCATTTTGGCCTGCATTAGAATAATCCCAGTAAAAATTTGTAGGGAGCTAGTGTAATGGTACACACCTATAATCCAGGCCCTCTGGGAAGCTGAGTGTCATAGTTACCTCGCAGTTTGTGGAAGTTTCAGTCTTTTACGTTGTATGCAAACTACGCACATCCTGGACGGGTGTAGCACTCACACTCGTAATCCCAACATTGGACCATGAATCAATCATAAACTCTAGAAGCCTGCCCCATGACTATGTGAGGCTTTGGGGGGACATCCAGACACAAAGCATAACTGAGGCAGGAGGATCTCAAGTTCAAGCCTATCCTAGGGAGGGCCTATCTCAAAATAAAAAATAGGAATGGGCTGGGATATTGTTCAGTGTGAGGGCCCAGGGTTCAATCCCCAGTACAAGGGGGTATTCATGGGCGGGACTTATTTAGGTTAAATTGACACAACAGCTCTTAAAAATATTGATCACATGTCACAATAATATTTTGGTTTAAATGACATTAAAATTAATTTCATCTTTTTTACTCTGTGTGTGTGTGTGTATGTCTGTGATAGTTGTGTGTGTATGTGTGTCTGTGTGTGTGTGTGATAGTAGGATTGAACCCAGGGGGCTGGGGATTTAACTCAGTGGCACAGTGCCTGCCTGGCAAGCGGGAGGTCGTGAGTTTGATTCCCAGTACGGGGGGAAAAAAAAAAAACCAACAAAAAAGGATTGAACCCAGGGTCTTATGCAAGCGAGGCAAGCACTGTACCAGACTTCATTCCAGTCTTCCTTTCTATTTTTTAAATGTACTTATAGCTTTAGGGCCTGGGGGTACAACTCAGTGGTAGAATGTGTGTGTAGCATGAGTAAGGCTTTTGGTTTGGCCCCTAACACTACAGAAAGGAAAGAAAAGAAAAGAGAAGGAAGGAAAGGAGGAAGAAAGAAAGAAAGAGAAAAGGGAAGGGAGAAAGAGAGAAGAGAAAATTATATGTGTAGATCCCACTTGTGGCTTGCACTTCATTTCCACTGAACAGTGTGGATCTAAGGGGGAGCCTGTTAGAACCATGGACATGGAAAAGTGTTGGGTGGGGCGCCTAGCAAGGCTTATTTAAAGGACAGAGTCAGTTGTCATGTGTATTTGACTGTTTTGCCTCATCGTTTTTTGGTTTTTGTTTTTTGGGGTTTTTTTTGGCCAAAAATGTTTGGAGGCATGACATCCATCACAGGGCCACAAAGCTGACAAACGAGAATGAAGGCTGCTCTCTAAGAGTATTGGGAGAACATTAGAGCCTGCATTCCTCTCCTCTAGCATACACACATACCTACCAGAAAGTTAGTATAGCAACATAAGGTGTTCCTTTCCTGTACCATGTTTTAGGCAACGTATTACATGTATTACCTTGGGGATCCAAACAGTGAAAGGGTAAGGAAAAGGAGAATATACCCGTAGAATAGGAATAATCATGAAATGGTGTCACAGTGCCTAAAACCCCCTCTGCTGGTTTTTGTGAGGAAGAATTATGCTGAAAGATGTAATTCCTAGAGTAAGTGAAGTTGTTTGTCATCACTCTGCAACAAATGAGCTTTCTGAATGATTGAGAACAGATGTGTGAGAAGTTATTCACCTGCTTTAAACACAATAATTGTCTTCGCTCTGAAAATACATTCTTTTGAATTTACCACTTAGCCTTGCTCTGTTCAGTTTTGCTGGAATTGAGCTATTTTGTCTTTAAAGTGGTGCCATTTTGATTCAGTAATAGTTACGGTGAGTCACTGAGCTGTCTCACTAGTTAATATTTAAAGAGCAAAAGGAATCATACATATCCCTAGGTCTCTAAAAATAATGTAACTGTATAGACATTTTTCAAGTATAGAATTTTTTTAAATTGAATTTTTTTCTTAAACTGAATTGTAAAGTCTGATATCCAATACAGTAGGTTAGGGGCACATAACCCGAAGGAGTATTATTATTATCACTACCATTATTACTGTTACTACTAGATCTGATATCTGCAATTTGATGTAATAGGAGTTATGAGCTAAAGAATACAGTATAAATTAATATATTATGAGAGCAATAAGATTTTTGTGTACTTTAACAGCACCTAACAAAAAGGATTTTTAGCCACAAACAACAGAAAACCTTATCAAAATTGGTTTGTACAAACAAAGGTTTACTTTACAAAATAAGAAATGGCCGGGCATGGTGGCACACACCTGTAAACCCAGCACTCGGGAGGCTGAGGCAGGAGGATCATTGCGAGTTTGAGACCAGCCTGGGCTACAAACTGAGCTCAAGTCTAGCCTGAACTGCATAGCGAGACCCTGTCTCAAAAAAAAAAAAAAAAAAAGAAATATAGGGGCACGTCTAAGGATAAATATAACTCAGTCACTTTCTGGATAGTCCTTAAGAGAATGAAAGAACCTTTCCTAAAGGAAATGTTTCTCCAGTAAATGGAGAGAGAACCAACAAATATTGAAGAGAAATATGGCTCAGCAAGAAACACAACTCCAAGCAGAGCACAGATAAATATCCTATTTATGGATAGTCCACAGCTTTACTGGAGCTTCCTTTCTGCCTAAATTCACAACTTTTTAAATCATCCTGCTGGGCCCTTTGCTCTTGATTCTCAACATAGATCTGGCTAAAGGCCCCCAACAATAGCCATGCCACTGCCTCAACATTTGGCTGCCTTGAAATTTCTCCTGCCAGATTAATTAGTTCACTGCCCTTAATCTCAGTCTCAGGTGAAATCTCTGGACACAAGCAAAATGCAGGGAAACTTTCTGCGAAGCCATAACATAACATCATCTGGAGTCCAGCACCCAGTGCAGTCCTTCTTCCCAGCAGAAACCTCCCAAGCCCGGTCTTTACCAGAACAATTTCTCTCAGCCTTCTGGTCTTCTGAGACCAGAATCTCCCATAGAAAACAGCCTAAGGCATTCCAGCTCTACTCTTGCAGGGACATATTTGAACCTTTCCAAACTCTTCTTACTTGTACCACATGGTTGGGTATAGTAACAGCAACAACCCCATTCCTGGTACCAAATTCACCTTGGTTATTTTTCTGTCAT